AGCCGCGGCTGAACTCCGAGGTCTTGTAGGCAATTTTTTCCGAGAGGATCTGAGCGCTTTCCTTCATGTAATGCTGCAGCTGAGCCTGCGACAAGTCCTTGAAGGCCACCCCCGCCGGGTACTTGTCCCCGGCAGGCAGCACCAGCTTGTTCCGCTCCGCCAGGTACGCCTTGGGCTGGGGGTGCAGGGGAGAGCTGAGGAAATAAGAAGCCACCGGGTGGGAGGACGGGTGACAAGGGCTGTCGCCTCGGTTGAAATAGCACAGGGCTCCCATGGCGTGGAAGGAGGAGTGATTGACCACTCGGGGTCTTACCAGTTTGTACTGCTGCAAGGGCAGGGCGTCGCGGGGGAAATCTCCTTTCAAGCTCAGGGCACAGTTCAAGAGATCGCCGCAGCTAAAGGAGGGCGAGGAAGAGGAGTCTAAATGAGCCTTCCTGGGTTCCGCTCCGGCCACCGCCGCTTTGGGCAGGGGGTCGTACGCCACCGGGACAAAGGGGATCATGCAGGGGATGGAGGAGTTGAGGTGCAGCTTGGGGTCGCCTTTGGCCACGGAGCCGTGGAGGAGCTGCGGGACGGGGATGGAGCGGGGCTCTGGCGTCCGCGCCATGATGCGCTCAATGGAGAAGGCGAGGGGCTTGGGCGAGCTCATCATGTTGCTCCTGGCAGACAGGCTTTCTCTGGCCGGAGGAGTCGCTAGGATTTTGGTCGCTGTGTGGTGGCCACTATTGTCCATGGCTGGATTGCATTTGTTCACCCGGTTTGAGCCGCTTTGGTAGACGCCTCTTTCTTTCTTTCTTTTCTTTTTTCTTCCCTTTAAAAAAAAAAAAAATCTCCCCTCTCTCTCTTTTTCACTCTGTCTGCCCCTTTTCTTGTCACTGATCTGCAAGGAGGGAGACCAGCATCGCCGCCGCCACTATCACCACAGCCTCCGCCGGCGGAACCAGCCTTCGCAGCCCAGTGGACTCATGCCAGCCCATCACAGTTTACTTTGGCGCACCAATGATTCGGGACAATCGCTACTTATTTCTATCAATAGAAAGTGTTGTGTCAATAACGCAGCCAAGATCTCGCCAATCGTTAACTTCCAAGAGGAGAAGGTAAACTAGATAATTGCTCAATTCGCTTCCAACAGTCAACAGGAAAAGTTTTTTCCCCCCCAGTAAGCGACTACTTTTCATTGGCGCCCGCGCCTCCCCCGCCCAGGGAAGGAGGTGTCTCTCCCTCCTTCTTGCCTTTCTCCCCTCTGCCTGCCTCCCTCCCTCCCTCCTTCCCTCTCTCTCTCTTTATTATTATTATTTGCAATCTGCTTAACCAGGCTTTAGAGGCCAAGCAAATCCGAGATCAATTTTCTTGTTTGGCTTTAAGTGACATCATCTAAAATCATTGTCCAAGTGCTAAATAGGGATGTGAAACCCAATTCAAGGGCAAGTGCCAGGGTATTTGTCAAACGAGGTGCCGCAGAAGAAGCGGCTGGAGGGGAAGCGGTTTGTTTCCTCGCCACTTTCCAGCCCGAGCTCTCTTTGTGCGTGGGTGTGTGTCTCTGAGGAGGGAGGGAGGGAGATGGCTGCTCTGCTCCTGGGACTGCTCCTGGTCTGCTCACTGCTTTAAAGAACAAGGTCAGGTGGCGGTGAGCTTTTGGAAAGCACAGTAAACAGATGAGCGGGGAACTTGCGGCAAGCAGACAGCAAGAGCAACGCATGGGGATGTGGGAGCCACCCGGGCCAAATCCAGCGAGTGCTTGTGAGCAAAAGGATGAATTCAAACCTGGGGCTGGGGAAGAGAAGGAAAAGGAGGTAGGAAGAAAGAGTGCCTTTTAAATCTGAAGCACTACTTAGATACATATGAACTAACCTGCACATACGCTGGGTATATAGCTTCTCTGTCCTTAAATAATACATGCACAACACAAATACAAAACCATCAGGATCGGTATAGATACACGAAGAAATATACAGCACACACACTGCTTGTAGGTATATGTGCACCTAAACAGATGTGCTCCCAGGTATTTAAGGAAAGCTTGGCGGCCCGGTTCCACGCAGGTAGCTCCAGCTTCCCGGGTGTTTGTACTTACAGCAAAGCGAGGGGTCAGGGAATGGGAGAGGAACAGCAGTGGGTAAGGGGCTTTCTGTATTCACCCCCTGCCCCACCACCCACCAGTTCGGGCTCAGAACAAGCTGCTGTTCCTCCCACCGGCCTGGGGTTCACTTGATTGGTGAATCAGAGGCCGCTGCCAAAATCCCCGGGAGCAGACAAGGACCCCTTCGTTCTCGTCCCACCTCGGGAGAAGAGCCTGGCCGCTTCCCCCGGCGGAGCGACCCAGGGACGGCCCAGCACTGCTCTTCTCCGGGGCCGGCGGGGGAGGAAGGAGGTCCCAGGTCTTGCTAGTGGAGAGAAGCCTCCGGCGAGGCGGGGAGGTCCGGCCCCGCTGCTCGGATATCGGCTGGGGAGCCTGCAAAAGGCTATGCTTCCCCCCACCCCCTCCGGCCCAGGAGAACCCGCTTGCGACGAAGAGGGAGCAGAGAGAAAGGGATGGAGTAACGGGATGAATGGATGGATGGACAGATGGAGCGAGGCATCCCTGCCCTCGGCGCTGTGACCATGCCGCTGCCCTCCTGGGTCACCGCGGCCCCGTTGAAGGAGGACAAGGCAGCGGCTGCTGCAC